CAATTGTGGCATTCATCGTTAGAGCATACCCGTGACAATCGGAGACAACTGGTAGGATTTATAATAGTCGATCAAACCAGCGATCACCCCATAATTCAGTGGCTGGACGATCGGTCGTGAAACGGCGGATATTAATCGACGTAACGACGGCTAGCCTTTTTGCATATGAAAAGATACTTAAATCTCTATACGGACGAATGGAACACTTAAATCGCAATCGCGATTGGAATTTCCAGCGAATTAACTTTCCGTTACCGCGATGGAAAAGAATTGTACCGTTATAACGATCGGAGGAAACTTTCGTATAAAGAAATACAAAATATAAATTCCTTGATTGAGGCTTCGTTAAAAAGATATTACAAAATTAAATTAAAAAATTTCAAATCATTCTGGAAAAATTATATTCAATTGTGGGAGTCAATTACAATCATTTTTGGTGAATACATATACCCCCGAAATCCTACACACTTTCGAGAAACAAATTCGAGGTGTGAAATTTTTCGGCGGAAAAAAAAATTTGAAATAATTCTAAAAAAATTATTTTTAGCTGCGGGGGTCAATTATAATCATTTTTGGTGAATAGACATACCCCCGAATTCCTACGCACTTTCGAGAAAAAAATTCTTTACTGAAAATATGATGTCTGACCATACGTTGATATGTTTCACTGAAATTTCATGCGTTTGTTTAAAACATCATAACTCCTGAACGGATTGGACGATTTTAATTTTTCAAAACGCAAACGACGCGTATTTTGATGGAGAATATGTAGGAATTTTAAAAATATTCGAAAAGTTGTTCCTTGGCCCCGTAAAGTGAGAAAAACCCCATGCATACCTTTTCCCAGTGATGGTCGAACACGCTATTTAGCAAATGACCTATTGAGTATCAATTTTGGGATTTAACGTAAACGTTTTTGTCCCCGAAAGGATATTTTGCATCGAGTACACGAAAAATCTGCGAAGTCGAAAGAAAGTAGAAGGAAAGGGAGGAGCGAGAGATCGTAATCTTGGTGGTCGTAGGATGATCGATGAAATTCTTATGAAAATATCGCGGCGACGGACAACACGTTGCGGGATGATTTTGATTGATAGAGAACGTCCGAATTTGAAATTCCGCTCGTACGGGAAAAACTCGTCCCGTTATCGGGTGATCTTTTTCCGAGCTATGCAAACCACGGCCGTGTATCGCAGCCGCACGCACACTCGCGTAAGGACGTATGTCCACGTCAAACTCCTTCCGACTGTGCACGTCCTGGAACAAGGCACGTAGAAGGTCCCTTCCGGACCGTGTTTCCAAAGGACATCGCTTCCAGTTCGCCTCCTCTCGCCCTCCGTTTACCACCCTGCTTCAAAATTCACCCTCTTTGTCTATCTATTCCGTACAGAGAGTTTCAGGCACAGGTGGTCAAAAATAAAGACAGAACAAAAGATATTCTCTTCCCCCTCGGATATACTTAAAGGTCATTGAAATCGACGATGTCGTCAAGATGGTAAATTGTTGCCATAAATTTTCCTGCCCATTAACGACACCGAGCTAGATGTGGGAGTAAAATGCTAACCTAGAAGTCACCTTTACCCCGACTCTCTCGTTTACAATACCTTTTCATTGTATAAAGAATGCTGCCCCTAAAGTTCTACACTAATGGGTCTTAAATGCTCCGCTAAGTAAGAGTATATTAGACAGCAAAAATTTAAAGATAGAAAAATGCATAATTTTATCCGTGAATTCAATACGAATCCCTTTCCGCAAGAAGCGTAAAGCTGATACAGATTATTAAAGTACAGTCTGTTCTAAAGGAAAAGTTTTTATACGCGGGGAAGGGTGACGCTTTCGGGCACGCGTTTATATGCCACTTTCCACCCTCTGAGCGGGTAGAATACGATTCTAAAGTTTGACCACGTATTTCTGAAACACTCTGTATATAGAGAGAAGGTATATAAACTCTTTACTTTCGCCTTATGCATATCTAATGTCCTCGTTGGCCGGATATTTACAAGTCAAATGCGACCGATCGATGCGCGTTAGAGCGATCGGGTGAAACCGGCACGACGCTCGGGGGCTGAAAAAGGGAGAAAAAGCTTGCTGCGGGAATCTAAGGGAGAAAATGGAGACGAGAACCGAAGAAAGGGACTGAGAAGGTGCGCGGAAGAAATGGGAAGGAGAACGCGATGCGAGGAAAAAAATGAAACGCGCAACGAAGCCACGAAACTGTAGGGTTGTCGAATTCGTCCTGCTTAAGATACTTTCCTGTTCGTAAACTAGGAATTTATTTCTTGTAAGAAATAGTTTAGCTCATTAGCCAGACGCTGTCGTTTCGAATCCGCCGCCTATTCGAGGCGTCTTCCAAATAATTTGTAAATCAGTAGTTCGGAATAAAATTCGACCAGAATCGTGTCTTTCCTGGTTCGACGATAAAGTCCAGAAACGCGGCAACGGAGTTTCCCGTTGCGGGCGGAGACTTCAAAAAGTTTCGTACTTGGAGGAGAACGGTTGCACGGGGCCATACACGCGGCGGAAAGTTCTCGCGAGCCACGAAAGGGCGAGTTCTCGCCGAGAAGAGACGAATCTCGATTCTCCGGTGAAATAAATTCTCGCGACCCTGCCCATTTATTTCTTCTTCGACGACGCTTGCTTTTCTGCGGGGACGAAATTAATCGATCCGACGGGCCACCCTCTTGGAGATACCGGGCATCGACTTTCTCAGGCTGACTCACTGTTATTCCGTTAGGGGTGTACGCGGAGCGAATGCCATTTTCCCTAGGATTTCCATTGCGTTTTCGGTGAATTTGCCAGCAACGTTGGCTCGAGATATTCAAAGGACCCGGGTCCTTGCAGTTAATACCGCTCGAGGTTTTCGGGTTTAAGTAGGGTTGTCAGACGTATCCTTTACCCGGTCACAATACCTTATTTATCGAATGGTGTCTATAAAATGTCCCCTTTTAGAAATATCGAATGGAAATTTGCGACTGGAAACAACTTCCATTGAACACACAGAAACAATGGACAATATGCAATATTTACCGTGCTTGTTACGCCTCCCTTTCGATTCCGGATTAAACTGGTTGACGAGCCGTGACCACCAACGTATTTGTTTTTTTAGTACGAATAATATTAATGTCAAACAATGGCGATTCCACCATTTAATACTAAAAAATTCAGTGTAATATTTACGTATGATGGTTATTCGTACCTTATTCCCGCGAAAATCCTTTAATCCGATAGAAAACTATTATCTACAACCGTAAAATAAAAGTAAAAATAAAACGTAACGTTGCTCGCGAAGCGTGGTCGCATCAACAATAAGCAATATTTACCGCCGTTGTTGTGCATCTCTTTCGATTCCACGTTAAACCGGTTGACGTGTCGCGTCAACCAATGTGTTCTCGTTATAAATATTTGATAACGGGGATGTCAAACTGATTTACACACGCAGCGTGGCGCCTCTGGGTCTTGATAAACGCAGTTTGTCGATGGTGTACAGGCGTCAACGGCGATTGAATTTGTGTAACGTGTCGCTTATATCGAGCCCGCGAGAATTGACATTATTATAATGTTGAAGGGTCCTCCCGAGCGGTAGAATCGATTTACCCGTGTATATCCTTCCCATTCAGCCTCTTCCGCCGATTTTTCGTCACGCTCGCCCCCGACGGAAATACGTCTAGCGCTGTCTTCCTTCGCGTTCCACGCTTACCCTCGGAGTTTTGGAATAAATTCAAATAGCAAGAAAACGTCGTCGTCGGCGTCGCCGGTGCTACGCCGTTTCCTCGACCTCGTCGACGTCTTCAGCGTTCTATCCCGGTGGGATGGTACGAAATGAATTGTACCAGCCACCCCACCCGCCGGAAAGAGTAATTTGATACACAACCTCGGACTCCGCGAACCCGACGATAATAAAAGAGGTGAAGTGCGCTCTCGGCGTCGTGTTGTATTAATTTAACTTGAGTAACGCGCCACCGACCGACGACAGGGTGGTCGCGAGTCAGAAATGCTAGGACACCGAAACGGTATTAAGTTAAATTGCTAACAGTCCCGCGCTTAAGGTGGCCTCCCGCATCGAGATTAACGAAACCGGCCAAGAAGTATAAAGAAAACGGGCTGGGCGGAGCGGTGTAAAAACACGAAAAAGGAGGAAACTGAGAAAGGGGAGATTTCGCGGGAACGAAGATGGCGCCGGCTCGGAAGTATTGTGGAAGCTCGGACTTCCTCCGATAACAGGGAAAGTTGAGTTTCCTCCCGTTGATCGTACTCCCCGTCCCCGTAGCGTTCTCCCGGAAGCGGTGGTTCTTTTCTGTAAACCTCCGCCAGTTAAAAATGTTTTTTAATTAAGATTCCGCGTAATAGTACCGTCGCCGATCTGTCGACTGATTACAAGGTATCTTGTTCGATAACGAGCACCGTGGAGAAATACTAATTGACGAGAGCGCGTAGCCCCGGGTACGGAGGAGCCGTGTATCGCGATACGGTGGTTGAATTTAATGTGGTTGCTTGTTCCTTGCGTACGAACAACCCTTCTTGTTACGCGAGTCTATTTTTATGTCGGTATCTTCGTTACGCTACCTTTTGTTGGTTTCGATTGCCGTTGGTTATTGGTCGAGTGTCTATTGTGTTAGGTTGCGCAATATCCTTTGTTCGTGTTAATCTTGCGTCCGGGAATTCGAATGTAACGGACATCGAGGGATTTGTGCATTCGGCTGGAAGCTTTTAAAGAGCTTAAAATATATGGTTCGGGACAATGACGAGATTATACTTTTTGGACGATTTGTAGGAAGGAATCGAACACTGTAGAACCTATTATTCGAATTTATTCTATCAGACTGCACGCTATTCGAACGATTATTGGAACGCGGGAGATGGGAAATCGCCTAAAAACTGCACGATTACAGACCGAGTCAGAATTTTATTCGAAATTGTTATCTAAATTAGAATTCCGACCATCCCTGGCTAGAACGCGTTCAAATTAATTTTTAACCTCCTCGATTTTGCTTGTTCTGTTACAGAAATCCTCGGGATGGAGCTAAGAACAGCGAAACTGTTGCTGTACTCGACGCTGGTAGTCGTGGTGTGCTGGAGCCAGGAAGATTGGACGGCGCAATGCTCGTCGTCGTGCAAGTGCAGATGGGTTTCCGGGAAGAAGACCGCCGAATGCAACAAGCAGAATCTCACGCAAATACCAGGCAGCCTATCGTCCGAGATTCAGAATTTCGATCTATCCGGGAACCGTATCTCGCACCTGATGCACGACGCGTTCAGCCGCGTGTCCCTGGTGAACCTGCACAAGCTGGTGCTAAGAAAATGCGAGATCGAGTCGATCCACACGGACGCGTTCAACGGGCTGAAGATCGTCATCGAGATCGATCTGTCGGCGAACAACATCAGAACCCTGTATCCAGGTACGTTCGAGGAGACGCAACGTCTGAGGGTGCTGTTGCTGAACGACAACAAGCTGAAGGTGCTGGAGAACGGGCTGTTTCGCGATCTCGTCTACCTGCAGAAGGTGATGTTGTCCAACAACAAGTTGGAACAAATCGAAGAGAAGACGTTTCGAAACCTGCCAGGATTGCAACTGGTAACCCTGAACGGGAATAATCTGAGCACGTTGAAGATGCTGACCTTCGACTCGCTGCCGAAACTGGGCAGCTTAGAGCTACACAATAATCCCTGGAACTGCAACTGTCGTCTCAAGAGATTTCGCGATTGGACGATCGAGCGTAAACTGTACACGAAGCCCACCACGTGTCAGCAGCCGGCCAACCTGGCTGGCAAAATGTGGGACGAGATCAGCAGCGACGAGTTCGCCTGTAGGCCGGAGATATTCACCATTGGCCCGTCCGTGAAGATCGAAGTCGGCAAGGGGAACGTGACGATCTGGTGCAGGGCCTCTGGGATCCCGCGGCCGCAGGTACAGTAAATCTTTGTCGCAAAGGTTGTTAGATTTCGTTGTAATATTATCGCTAAACCCCCGCTAATTGGGAGCATCCCCTCGAAGCCAGCAAAACGCGAAAGGCGATATGGGACTAGGTAAGCAACAGTGAAATACGATAAAGAAGCGGTTGGCTGGACATTTAACCCATTAACGACCAAGTAATGGGCGACTCTTGCACAGAATAGTTCATTTGTATGGTTCGATGAAAAATTCGGTAAATCTCAGTGAATGATTATTTCCTTTTCGATTCTATCCACGTTTTCGGCCGTTGTAAAGTAATTTTACGTGTGGTAGAAAAATACAAATTGGCTCACGGGTGAAATTAAGATTGACGTGCCTGGCCTAAATAAACGCCAGCTTGAACTGAACGAGGCGCTAAACGCTTGCACTGTTATGATATAAAGCTCTACGTTCCAAGCGACGACCTTATAACAGAAATTTACTGCACTGGAGTAACACCAGCTTGTACGTTACTCGCTTACGAGGGACTTGTACCGATCGTTGTTTTAAAAGAGATCGTGTGTACAAACAAACCTTACGATAGTAAGGTTAAACCGTTTTTTAAAAAGATGCTGCTAACATCGACTGTTTCAAAGTATTGGTAATTCGAGTCTCACTCATTGTTGTCCTATCTCGCTCACCCTCGGCGTAGCCCGTTTATTTCTCGTCGTACAATACATGAAAGACTCGACCTTATTCCAAGATAAAAGAGATCGATGGCTGTAAAATAGAGGACGCTGTTTTGAACGCGGTTTAAAGAGACGTGTACACGGGGTATCTGCAACTTGTCCCAGGTAATTAAATTTATAGTCCGTGGCTAACTGCACTAGATCGCCCCAGAAGATATTCCCAAAACTTTTGCGGTTTGCTGGCAAAATCTTACTCTCGTTACTTTTAGAAAAATTCAACAGTTTCGATTACTGAGATTTGCACGAATTAAAATACGGACACGTCGATGCACGCTTAACTCTTTATTCGAGTGCACGCGAAACGGAGACCTCCACTACAAACACAGCGATGGTTTCCTGGTAATGTATGTACACGAACGGAACCAGTTCGGTGACATGCAAGCGGGGGGGGGTGCACTGTATAACTTTACGTCAGGGAAGAAGCACGGTTAAAAAGCGAAGGGAAGTAGAGTGGAAAAGGGAGCGCACGACGGTGAAGTATGTATTGTAAAGGGTGGCGTTGTAAAGCGGGGTAACGTTGACTGCGGTAATCCACAGCAACTTGCGAGCAATTTTGTGTACAATCTGGATGAACGTTGGGGGGTCAGGACCGTTGAAAAGATTGCGCCGGTTAAATCCACGTTGGGGCAACTTAGCTTGAAAACTTCTAAACGTTCTTAGCCGGGATACGTTGTTCTCCGACCTCGGAGTGGAAGAGATTCTTTAAAGTTTACTCGCTGCGGATGCATTTTTCCCCTCCTTTTCTAATTGTAACGGTTTCGCGGAACGTTCGCGGTCGGAATAAGAATTCTCATTCCCGTTTCTCCGAGTTGCTTAGAGGAAATATTTTACCTACGTTAAGGAGAAAAGTGTTGAATAGGGTCCGAGCCCGGGACGAATTACGAATTGCTTTCCATCGTGGGTGGATTTATAATGCAAGTTGAATCGAAATATATATACTCCACGAAATAAATCGACGGGATTCTTTAAGCGGCGTAAGAATAGCTTCAGATAAATACAGAGATAGAGCCAACTTCTCGAGACTTTTAAATATTTTAATTAATTATTCGTGGTAGCCTGTCTATCCCATTTGCAGAAAACAGCGTGTAATTCTTTGTTCGATCTACCCTATGTACTATACACCGTGAAATTGTTGACACGAAAATATCGTGTACGCGTATGTACGTTAAAAAAAGTTATTCTCGTATATATTTCAACTCATCCTGTATATTCGATAACGTATGTAGTTTTTTAACGCAACGACGAACATAGAAATCGTGTCACGGAATTTCCTTGATTTAATGAAATCCTTTGATTCCGCGAATAATAACGCGCACCTGGAGAGACAGAGCGAGAGGGCCGTCTTTTGAAACACGCCCTACAAAAGAAGGGCGCGCAGTTACGTCAACTTTTACGCGCTATAACGAAGTTCTTTCGGACTTCTTCCGACGCGAAGACTGAAAATATCGAAACGACCCTTGGGAAGCTCTCGTTCGCGAAGGGCGTGCTGGGAACTGGGTCGTGGCTATTCGATTTCAACCGAACGTTGTTTACTCCGCTAACATCGGAGACTGATAGAATACACAATATATTTTCTAAGTACGTGTAAATACTCGAGGAGTCGAGTCTACCGATTCGAGGGTCTAGAATTTTCCAAACATTTTTATAGAATATCCCTCAAACGCGATTCAAACATGGGCCATGCTTGTCGGTTTCAGCTGTTCTGGATCCACCGGTCGAGGGTCCTGGAGAACCAAACGAGACGGCACAACGGGGAGAAGGGTTACATCCTGAAGTCGAGCCACGACTGGCTGAACCTCACGATCCCCGACGTCACGCCCTCCGACAAGGGCGATTACGTCTGTCTGGCGAAAAGTCCAGGTGGAAATACCGAGAAAAACGTGAGCTTGGCCGTAGCCGGGGACGCTATAGGCGGCAGGGACAATATAATCAGTCTGCCTCTGGCCATCGGTTTGGGGTTCACGGCGTTGCTATTGCTGATAGTGACCGTGTCGCTATGCGTGTGCTATTGTCGTCGTCGACGGGTCAGGCACGACGAGAAGAGCCTGGAAGCGGCGTCGATGGAACATCACGGACTGGGCGAGCAGGAGAAGTCGCTGATCACGACCATAAATCCCGTGGTGAAGCCGCCGAGACGCTACGAGGCGCCGTCCGTGACGTCCCACGGCACCGAGATGACGGAGCTGAACCGTACGTTGCTCGACAACGACTCGGTCTTTGGTCAGTACACAGCCTACATTACTAAACAGTGCGTGGCCAGGTGCTAGCTACTAACTATTTGTTACTTCCGCCGCGCGATTACGGCGAAACGTGGTACGTTCGCGGGACGAGCGACGCTGACAGGGGTTCGATGGTGTGGCGTGTGAGATACGCGCGCCATTTTCGAGGAAACCGGAGGAATAATGGCTAGCCGCGTTTCGTTTGAGATATCGTCGATTGATGTTGTCCAGGGTTTCATTTTGTGGGAGCAACCGAAGCTCGATATGATTTCATATTGACGTTACTTCTGATCACTGTGTGATTGAAAATAGTACTTTAACCTTTGACTGGTAGAAAGAGGTTATTGTTACGTGAGTAATTGATGGCGCGGGGCTCCGTATGTCCGTCGATCGATGCCACATCTAGAATGTACGCTTTATTTAATCCCTCCGTTCATTTACTCTCGAGTCACTTTTCAAACGTCAGTATTTCTCGAACTGTAGTGGACCTAGAACAGAATTAAATTTTTATCAGTACATGTTTTAAAAGAGCATAGATAAAAGATCATAGATCGTGGACGAAAGAGCAAAAAAGTGTTATGTTATTGTCTTCTAAATATTAATCTTGGATATTAGGATCTTAAAACTTTCACCTTTGACCCCATTTGTCTAGAAAACGAGCGATACAGTGTTGAAAGCTACAGTTTGACCTATGTTAATTTTATATTTCTTTATCTACCGGTATTATTTCAATCGCATCCTACCAGTTGAAGGTTGAATCGCGATAAATCTTTGAATAAATATAGAATTTTACGACTTTAGGAGTAAGTACATATTCGTGTTAGGAATAAAGTACCTCTCGTAAAATAAAGCCAACGCGTTAAATAATTCAAACTTGGAAACTATTCTAGGCTCTGCAGTGTACATGTACATTTTCGTGACATAACCGTCGGCCTGATGCGCAAAGATCAATGAATGGAACGCTAACAAAGGAAGTGTCCTCGATAGAACCGATTCCGAAACGATATCCACGTTAGATATTGTTCGTGCCATAAATCTTCCGATCTCCTGCGAAAACGTCCATTTGCTCGGCGCAAGATCGCTGGTACGGTATCGTCGCTAATTAGGTGACAGAATAGATTAATTGAATTGTAAACGGCAAGTGTATTTAAGTTTAAGACAGTCGTATTAACGCGATGCGACGCGTGCGGGATTCGGTAATCCCGCAGGCAGACAAACGAGGCGCCATCGATCCTCGGGTTAACAAATATCGACCAAGACTGTTGCAAGATTAACGAGAGCGTGCAACACGTAATGATAGAGAGGAGAAAGGCATTCGTCATTTGTGTCTAGCTGCCAGCGATAGCGTTTCTCTCTCTCTCTCTTTCTCTTTCTCTCTCTCTTTCATGCAATCTCGTTTTCTGCGAGTAGAAAACCGTGCGTCCGTGCCCGACGTTGACCGTCGGCTAATCACAGAGATGGACAACACTCTCATTCGAATAAAAATTTCGAATATTTTCTTAAACGAAATTATTTAACACCATTAGACAGTTAACGGTTCGAGTAAATAACTTTGGATTACAGAATAGGATAACCATCGCGATTAAAATGCTACTCGTTGAATTAATTCGTTATCCGTCGTTGGAATAAGATTGTGTCCGTCTCTGGCTAATTAGACGCGACGAAACCGATCGTCGCGTACCACGGACGCGTCGTTTTGCGAGATAATTATTTTGTTAGAAATGTAAATATTGGCGGTGAATTATTCGTCGGCACGAAGCGTTCAACGGAACTATTTTTGTCTCAAAAGCGTCGCCGTTGTACATAATCTTCTTACCGTAGAGCAACGATGACGATAAGGACGACGATCTGTACGAAGAAACGAGAGATAGGCGATAACGCTTTGACGGTTGCACCTTTCGCCCGAAGATTACTGGGTTAATTTCATTAAAAAATTGCATAATACATATCTAAGTACGCCTTTGTTAATCAACATTAAGTAAAATTGTTTCTAACGACTGAAAAGACCACGCACGCGCGATAGCGGCCTATAATTTTGGACAGTAAATTCGCTCGTACCTAACAGCAACCGTCAAAATGTTAAAAGAAGTCGCGTCGGTGTGTAAGACGAGGCTGAGAGTAATCGGAAACACGCAAAGAACCGGACGAAGATGCTGTTAATTGGAACGTTAGTTGCCTCGAGCCGTAAATAACGGAAACACAGAAAAACAAAAGCGGACAGAAGCACTCTGGGATTGTACGCATAAAGTGGTGATTAAAGTGATAAGGCAAAAGGGGGAAGTGCGCGTTACACGACGTTCCGAGTCCGAGTAACACAAAGGGAGAAGTAATAATCATTATTGTACTCCCTTCTGAATTAGCGAGTCGGAGTTTTTATCGAGCACGGACAATTCTTTGGTGTGTCTTCCGTACACGTGTGCGCAGGCTCCCCCGCGAGTCTTTGTCTATGCACTTTCCGAAGATGGTAATTGAAATTGTCGAGGATCTCGCATCTGAACAGCTACTTTCCGCATCTCAACTACCTCTGCGCGATACCGGTACCCCTTTGTGTCCGTCGCGGAAGGCTGGTCTCGTGCAACCTTTTCTCCATTGTCCTACTTTCTCTTTTGACTGCTGGTTGAACAGGAGTCGAATACGGAAAAACGCGTGTCACGATAAAAGTTCCATGATTATCGGGAGCTCTCGTACGCCTGCCACCGGCACTCGTAAAGATTTTTACACACAGCAGACGGAAAACGCGCGCGCGAGGTCTCTGGTCGTGTCGCTCGGGACTCACCGCGTCGAGAAGATTGCGACCGAAGTCTTTGACTGCGCGACTGAAACGCGATAAAAACGACCGAGGGCATCGACGTCTGCCTCCAGTATTTCATTTCCTTGACAGATTCGTTACGACGACTCCGCGCCGCCGCCGTTTAAATTATAACGCGAACGTGCATCTCGCGAAACTACGTAAAAGTTGACCCACTTTTCATCCGATGAAATTTTATCTCGACAGACACCATCGATTTACGTGTCTTCGCGATATAACCACCCCCGACGTGTCTCGTACATTATATAACGTTTTCTGATACCGCTGCGTGATACCCAACACGGCATCGTACTATGGACGTGAAATTGTAAGCGAAATAAAAGTCCTGGGCCTGCTAGCGGACTCGTTGGTAAGGCAATCTAGCAGGCCCTATCCTTCAAGGCGGATCTTGCGACCACGTAATCATATTCATTTTCATGCCACTGGTTCTTGATCGCCGGCTACAGAATTTTAATGGATTGCTTGATCAAATAAGACGAGGGCGAAGTGTATTTCGAACGGCGTTCAATTGGTAGCCAGTAGCCCAGCACATGATCTTATTACATTACGGTGCTTCAGCATTTCCTGGGAAAGTATCCCTTTGTCTTGGCTATCGCTTTGGCTTTATCAAATAATATTGTGTGCCCTGTAGCCTTTTGGTGGAAACGTAGAGTCCAGGTCCCAGTGGACACTACCCACACCCGGAAGCCTCTGTACTGATCTTCGAGGCTTTGAAATTAATATTGAACCGTAGGAAAGGAAGGGAAGGGAACTTGCGTTTTGTCCCGTTGCAGAAATACTTGGATTCATTAGCGAGGCTTACTTAAACGCAGCGATATTATTTATTATAGCGCAAGACTACCATTGGACCACAGTGTGTGGAATACGCAGTTTCTTCGGCCGCCATACAATCGAATTTCTTTATGTATATTTTTTTTCTGCACCGCCCCGGAGAATAAATTGCCACGTCGCGTATGCGTAAAAAGATAAATGCGTCGGTCCGTAAAACGGGCCATCAGCAGCGTGCAGGGATTAAACTCGCGTTTTGAGTTGATTTTTTCTTTTTCCTTGCGACGCGTGATTCACTTTTCTGTTTTAACGTTCGTCCTTCTTTTTTGTTTCTGTTCTGGCAGCTGATGGTATCGGTGGCGGTGTCGGCGGCGGAGTGATCGGAGGCGTCGGCGACGACGAGAGGGAAGAACGAGCTACCCCGGAACTCGAGAGCGGTACCGGGACGCTGTGTCGCGGGGGAGGCGGCAGCTACCGTCAGTATCCTCCGGATCTACTGGCCTTCTCCGGCGGTCGTGGCGCATCGCCGACCAGCCAGGCATCCACGGCGCCCGACAACACGCGTCTTCCGAGTCAGCACGCGACGCCGACCACGGCCGCGTTCGGTTCACCCTCGAACCAATATCCCGCCGCATTCAAGACCTTGCCCCACAATCGTAGCGTGACACCCTACGGGATCGCTAGCTCGACGATCGCGCCGGTGATGCCCCGTCACGGATACGTCACGATACCACGAAGACCCAGGGCGCCCAGCTGGAGCAGCGGCCCACCCACGTCGCCCACGGACGGATTGGAACCAGTCTACGACAATTTGGGGCTGCGTACCACCGCGGACGGCAGCTCGGTGCTTTCGTTGAACAAAAGTCCCGAACCGTTGTCCTCGATCAGGAGTCGACCTTTACCGGGAACGCCTAGCTCTCACTACGGCACGATACAACGAAGCACCCCGAACATACTGACCAGCAGTCCGTTGGACAGAGCTGCCCCCGAGGGGGCGGCCGAGTGGCCCACCAAGGTCGCCGACGAGTCGACGGACAGCAATCACGCGGCGGCGACAGCTGCGGGCCAGCAACAGCAATCGGGCAGCAACACCCTTGGGAGGAAAGTGCCGCCCAGGCCTCCCCCAAAGCCCAAGAAGAAGTCCACCAACGGTCCGTTGTACGAGGACGAGGGCGAGGATGGCACGGAGGTATGATCGACCCGCGTCGCTCGACGAACTTGAGGCCGCCAGGTCGCAGCCGCGCCGAAGGGAAGAGACGCATGACCGCAGTCACAATAAACCGGTAGTGCCTTTCAAGATGAGACAACCCGCGTTCGCGGGTCGATGTTTGGTTCGAGCGCGTTTGTTCGACATGTCGAAAGTGCTGACAAACGAGAAGGGGGCTCCTACATCCGGTGAGGCGAAGTTTGGGCGAACCGCTGACTCGCTGGCCAGACAGCTAAACTTTTCGGACGCCTTCGCCGGTCATTCGTTCCTTTCGTCCCCGTTTATTCGCCTTCTACTTCTTTTTTTATAATTTATTTCTAACACGCGCTGTGCCGCGGACATCGAACGTTTCGCGGGGAACTCGATCGTCCGGTGGACGTTACGAGTATATTGTGCTGTATTTTTTTTTTTTTTTTTTACCGATAATCGAAGAATTCGACGCGAGTCGTGCCCGTCGACGAGATCGTACAGAAACGCTAGTATTAAGGATCGCGTCCCGCCGAGGATGTTCGTCTTATTTATTGACGTGCTTGTCGCATGCCTAACGAAGATCACGTCGAAGCAACGAAGGACACTGTGGAAACAAATAATGTTTTATACGATCTGCTCGTAAAGCTGGGGCGTGATCGGGTACCTTGTAATCTTATTTTCTACTTTTAGTTGAACTTTTACGCCCGTCGGTGTATATTAGGCGGGAATAATTTTTATCGCGACTGCTTGAAGTTTATCGGTCTTTTATCCTCCGTGTCCTTGTAGAGAGCGACGCTTTAGTTTTTTTTTTTTACCGTTAATTTTACCGTTAGGTCGTCTTCTCTTTACTGTTTAACCTAATCGTGCATCGCGCTGGTACTTGACCGCGTCGAACGAGCAATCGTTGTAACGACATTGTAAATCGGGATTAACGATCGAGCCACGGCACTCGTGGTTCGGTACGTAAGAGCAAACGTTATCGATAACGGCGATGTTAGAGTAATTATTACTTGTAAGTCGTATTCGTTTTTAATAGAAAATGGCGCGGTCGCTTCAGCGCGACTTTCGTTAGGTCGTGGAAGCACGCGCCATCGGTCGGACGTGGAAACACGTTTCAAGGGTTTCGAAGATCACGATGGCGCTCCATTTTCTGGTGACTAGTACACAGCTGACATTACACCGTGACCAAATGTATTTTACCGCGTACTATCTCGTCCCTGGAACAGGCAGGGACTACGTATTCGCTCGGAAATATTTTAAGATTCGCGCGTCATCTCGTTTCTACGAAACGAGACCTCGACGCGCGTTTGGTCGAACCGCCGAGTTTGTTGTAAAAAAAAGCATGTCGTACAGTTTGTACATACTGTGTATTATATCTAAAAGATAGTTTGACTTCTGATAACTCGATCGGATTGGTCTTTTACGAAACCATGCGCGCTAATGGTTTCATAGTGAATAATGCAGGAACGCGGAAGCGTGGTAACGAAACGAGACGAATCCAAGTCCGTGCTAGAGACGCAAAGATGCGAACGAACAGCTGGTCCGTTTATAGTAACGAGGACGTCATTGTATACGTAACGTTTAGGTAGAATTTCATCGCGATTTTAACGCGTAATGCGAACCACGTGTAGACGAATCGAGTTCGAGTGACTCGTACATTCAAACGGATCGATGCTGCGCATTTAAAATGCGTCATTGTTGATCGTTTTAATTTAATCCTCGCGGAATAGTTTTCGAAGCAAATTTCTAAAGTTTCGATTACGTATATTCTACACTTGGATATTGTTGTCTCACATAAGGGTTTTTGTAGCGCCATTGGATGATCGATCACGCGCAGTGATTAAAATTCTTTTTTATCGGAAAGCAAACATGTTCGATCGACGCAATTCCGCCAAGTAGACACCAACTATGGAAAGATTATGCTTAACTGGGATTTAGGGATCGATTGTGTACAACTTGTTGCGGACGGTATCCTTGCCATGGAACATGATTTTGAACCAATTACGTTAGATTTTCCAAATATACACTTATCTCTAAATTTATCGCGTACGTTTATGGCCATATTACTGCGATATTTTCAAAATTTCACTCGATACAGATCAATTGCATATACAGTGTATCTTTGCAAAAGAGATTTTTTGTTAGTGCAACGTCACGAAATTATAAATGACCAATATTTACGTTCAAACGATACGCTTCGATCCTTTCATTCGAGTGTTTCGTTCAAGATAACTTTACGAGAACTCCTTGGAACACTTGGAACAAAGCTACGCACTTTGTTCGAATAAAAGAACGTCCCACTTAAAGAAACGCATTACACATCGCACGTGTGTCGATGCACTTACGAAGACATTAAGCTCGTTAGGAGGTACACTGTTCGACGCTTTCCACCGCAACTAATTAACCGGGAGACACGAATCCTTTCACTGGGTTGCTCACCCTGACCAGGCTCTTGTTCGAGAAAAAATATCCTACTTTCCTAAACTAAAGACTCGCCAGCGACGATACCGATCGAACCAAGTAGATTCGATGACGACGAGATATCTTCCCCGACGATCGCAACGCACCTAACAGTATTACGAAAGAAACTCGAGGACGATGACGCGGTGCTGGTGAGAGGACGCGGAGAGAATCGCGACGAAATCGTGCAACTTCGTTTCCTCGTTGTAGATTCGATATTCTAACGTGATTGAAAACGAGGAGTTAAAAAGTAGAAAACAAGAACAGCATTCAGGATCGATTGGATCCGCGAAACAGGTGCCAATCGGCAGCCTTCTTCTTCCTCTCGTTTCCAAAGAAGGATCAAGGCCTCCCACGGGGGAAGAACGCCGCGGTTCCGATCAAAAGGGGTTGGAATAGAGGCTGCACGACCGAGGATCGTCGCGAATTATTTTAAGCGGCCTATCAGAGTCGCGGCTCGTCCGATCCAATCGTTGTGCCGCGCCCTGTAAATACACGGACCTAATTGCACGCTGATTCACGACGTTGTTTATATGTAAATTGCGGCCACGTTTAAAGAGCAGCGCGGCACGACCGTTTGGTACGGCGCCACGAGTATATTTTTGTAATTTTGTATTTTGACGGATTCTCCGGCAACGTCCAGTCCCACGGCAGCCGCGCGGGGAAGACAGACTCGTCCTCGTACCGCGGGATCAACGACACCGAAACCTCCCCGGTACAATACAACAGTAAAACATAATTGATCGTTAGAATTAGCTACGACGCTTCTTAACTCGGTGCCTCGTCTGGCTGCGCCCACGTCCCTGATTTCTCGATCCGCGTTATCAATCAGATTTACATTCGTTTATCCTACAAGAATCATCTCAATCCTCAACGATACTTTCTGCCATAGAAAATGACTTACATTCTATCCTGCGTTCGTTCACAAAAGGTATACAAGGAAATCGGACAACATTGGCGTAACGAAACTGTTAATTGGCAATGCAAACGGTAGAATTTTGTTCTATTTGAATACGGTGCGAGAGGAAGGTTGCATCCTCGCCGCGTCGACGCAGCCCGTCCATTCCGGTGCTCTGTTTCTCGTGTCACGCGTTTCAAGTTAATGATAACGGGGCAAGTACAGGTGAAAATAGAATGCGCGCTAGCCAGCAATTACAGCGGGGATGGTGGTCAATCCGCGTGTCCTATGTACTATTAGCCGAAGCGTGTTTACCAGGATTCGCGCACGACGGGCCAACAGTCAACGTGCAATTATTATCGCGAGATACTTCGTATGCGCGCGGTTAGGCTGTTCGTCGCTTTAATGAGACACTCCCTTTGACATCACCGAACGCCTGCAATAACACAGTTTGCGCTCATCCACGCTCCGAAGACGCGTCTGCGGCATCAGACGATCGTTCGCAATCGATAGACGCAGCACGAGTCGAGTTCCGGTTCTCCGTTTTGGCTGATCGCGCATTTAGCTCTTGGCGACCCAAGGCGGCGCAATATTTCCCAAAGGATATCAAAAAAATTGATCTGAAACACATCATGCTCGACGACACAGTTTAAAAGAAGATTTTTAATATTTTTTTTTGGTTAATCTGTCACCGGAAATTACCCAAATGCCCCATAAATTTTCGAAAACTTAGAATACCTCTTGGCTGATTGTGCCACCCCTGAGTCACCCTATATAGCATTACCGTCGGTTTTCTATCGACTCTGCGTATCTACCTGTCGGGCGTATATCTGCTTGAAGTCGTTACGACGGAAGTGAAACGGTCGGAAGGGACACACGGGTGATGAAGGCGAGCGAAACTTGTGTAATTGCGAGTGTCGGTGAGTCCACATTGGACACGTCTCGCTTAGTATTTTTAATGAGGCACACGCGACCGTCTGTGCCCCGAGATTTCTCGCTCGAACGGAACGAAAGATTGAAGGGAAAATGGTCGCGATTCGCGTTGAAAGGACGAGGAAGAGCGGTTCACGGCGTCGACGAGAACGTTAATAGCCAGCGACGCTGAAAGGATGGTGTTGTTGTGGCAGGACTTGTTAACGGTTTCTAGGTGAATTGTGGAATTATTAGATATCGATGAAACCGAACGAAATAACCGCCGTTTCGTACTGTTACCGCCAATTATGGTGGTCTTACGGGCACAATTAACGAGCTCGTTTAATTGTAGAATAAGTTGGTTCACGGTGAAGATATTGGGCAATTGTCTTCGGTGTTGTAAAATTGAAATCCTGACTTGTTCGATGACTGTGCCGGTGAGACCGGGATACGGAATGGGAATACTAACGCGAACGAAAATTGGAAAAGCGTTTTCGTGCACAGAAAACGGAAGCGCATATTTTTTAAATGAAACGGAAAATTCGAACGTGATTTCTCCACGGGCACAATTGTAAAATCGTCGATCACGCGAAACACGTTGATAGATATGCAAAGTGGGACGCGTAACACTGGCGGCGCTTCGATAACTCCGTAAATATTGATTTTAACAAAAATTGGTTCCGACGAATATTGCATGGCTCGTAGGGAGTATTATGTATTCATGTAACGAACTCAGGGGTTATTAAATGGAAAACAATTTTTTCCTGTTACAGGAGCGACAAATTGATATTCGAAGTGTATTCGATTTATTCTTTATTGAAATCAAAAGGCAATCATTTTTATAGTTTTAAACTTGTGCTAGTATTTTTTCCATTTTTTCGAAAATGGCTGAAGTGTCGTATGCATCTACATTTGCATAGACACCGACGGTTAAACCTTGTTTTATGTTTGAAAACTTTTATCAGACAAAAATACGAAAAGAATATTTTAAGAAGCGTTACGTTTATTTGTATATAATTTTAACGATTATAGTTTTTGTAACACAATTTACGATATGTCCAAACGTGTACTAAATCTTTTTTGAATGATGAGAAATAAATTTTTATTTGTGATTAAACATCGTTTGAAAGTAACGAAACAACATTAAACTTACTAAAATGACTATGTTTTCGACGTAAGAATATGTAGGTCAATATTCGTGGAATTATCTAAAGCATTCCAGCTAGATGCGCGACCGTATAGATTCGAATTAAAAAAATTGAGCCAGAGAATGATCAATAACTCTACTGCTGCCAGAGGGAGACACGCGCTGATACAGAATTCGTTATCAAATCGTTTAATGAACGGTGTACTTAAAAGTTGCATTATTCTTTCGTCCATCCTAGTTTCAGGACACCATAGGAACACGATAATCGTCGTTCTCTCCGAGCTCGAAAGCTCAAATTGTATTTCGATCGACAGTCATAGATAACATTCCTAGTTCTGACACTGAGATATTGGCGTGAAGTTCTTGACTGCATCTGCGAGCGTGCAGATGAAAGTACCGTCCAATACATCGATCCGACCACAACCATCTGGACGTTACGCGTGCATAATCAATCGAATTTAACGAAGAACCGGGACGCCTCGGAACACGACGTTCCACGAAGATTCCAATCATCATTTTACGATCTCTTTACGACGCATTTTATCCGCTAGGGAATACATCGTAGCACTTCAATTCGCGATAATCGATACTACGACTGATAAACAGTCGCTTCTTTGATTTTGGATTACGTACTTTATCGAGAAGCTACCGCAATAAAAGACAAAAATGACAAAAAAAAAAAACACGTTTCGAGTCATGCTGAACACATTCCAGGAAAAACGATGGCGATCTTCGCGTGGTTTCCGTTTCTAAGTGCATTTTTGTAATAAGTTCTCACTGGTTCATTCGTGCATTGTACATCGTAATACCCGAACTTCATAATTAACCGATTAATTCTCGGAAATGAGAATCAAGGAGACCAAAATCGCAAGGATGAAGCCGGAAACCGATTTATATTAAACGTCTGTAATAATTAAGCATCGCAACCTGGGAGGGGGGCAGAGGCTAATGAATGTTTAAAAATTTGATTTCCGAGCATTAACCATGTATTACTAACGACGTTATTATTTAAATAGAATTAAGCGTAATGCGTGCATCGGTTTAAACGTCGTACCTTTGCGTACCAAGTCGCGCGAAACTCGTATGTACAATCTCGACATATTGTTTAACCCCTTGAGGTACCGTGGTACTACATTATCCCATTAAATTTTTACAAATATTTCTCTTTAAAAAATTATGTTGAGTTCAATGATCGATAATCGGCATAAATTGACGCATCAAAGGGGTTAATCGCGTCGAATCGTAGCCGCTTCTTCGAAGACTGACATTTTTCGAGACCGAGACGATGTAACTTTCGTTTAGGAGTAATTGATTTAAAGGAATTGCGTTGGTAATAAAGAAAACATACGAATGAAACGAGTAACCGTCGAGAGACTTTCCTAATTGATCTCTGCGAAACGCGATCGAGCGATCAATTCGCATATAACCGCGCGCAAGGGGTCAACACGTACGTGTCTCCAGGACGCTAAATTTGTCGCGAAGCGTTACCAACGATACGATAGTTGATCGATGTAAACGGTAGCTCGGATAAATCTATAAAATGTGCTTTCTCGAACGATCGCTCGAATCGTGTCCTAATCGTCGTTGAAACTGCCTAATTCATTCCATTGCCGAGTCTGTAAAATGATACAGAAGGACTTTCTCACCACTTTCCGCGTGTGTACTAACCGTATATAATAGTACTGTGCAGAAACGCGAAGCGTGTTCCTGACGAAGTGTTGTTAGACGGACAGTGTAGGACGTGTGTTTCTGTGGATCAGGCCGCGTCCAAGTTTCTCGTACTTGATGAATGTGTGTAGACGTTATGGGGCTGAGTCATGAATAAACGACGTTTCATTACCATATTTTCGTATCTCGTACAGCGCTCCGTTGTACAGGATAAGAACGCTTCGAAGTGTTTTTATCGTAATAGGGATTATTATAAATGTAAAGGAACTATGTTTGCGTGTCACGATATAGGCGTAAGGAACCTCTTTAGGGAAAGTAGCGTACAGATTTTTTCTTTTAATAGATTCTAGATGATATAGGAACGTTAAGGATGGATAATCGACGTAAAACTTTGCGAACGTTGATCATGTCTTCGTTTTTTTCTATTTTTATTATATATTGTCTTCTTATTAATATCCGTGTTATTATACTATTATTATTACTATTATTATTATTGCTATTACTATTTAATATTCCTATCGAATATTGGATTTATACCGTTACGTTGCGCTGTTATTATCATTGGGATCGTTGTAGTCACGATTATTTTTGTACGAAAGTTTTACCACGGAATATTGCAACTTGCCTTGTAACAGAATTCAGTTCCGTTCGGCGTAACGTTTCGGCCGACTATAATTTATATGCCATGTCAATGTACTATCACTGTAAATATTATACATATTTTATAAATGAAATATTTAGCGTGACTGTAACATTAAGAGAATGTACTGAAAGCACCACTCTGTACACTCCACTACGATGGTTAAATTTTAATAAATATTTCCCAACCCCGCCGTTGTATTATGACACACCTATATCAAGTATGAAAATTGCAAAACAGAAGGAACATTTTCCATGGTTTTTCAAAGAGCATTTTTATTGAGAAAATAGCGATAATAGCTTCTTTACAATGTCTTAAAGTATTATAAATATAGTCGATTATTTGGCTCCAATGGACTTCAATATCTTATCTTCTTTGGTCACTTTTTTCAACTTCGACAAAGCACTCTCGCCATACTTCGATACCAATTCTTCGACAAAGTCGTCTTTCAATTTTTTCAGGCATCTAAAAAACAAATTAATTTTGTTAAATCACTTTGATTGTAAACTGTCCATTAGCCTTATGATAGCTTAATTCCCTCGGTCAATATATTTACTCGTGCATTACCTCCTATAAATAGAATCAGTTCTGAACTTGCCGATGTCGAGACTAGGGGCATGAGGTCGATGGATAATGAACGTATCCGGTAAGACAATGTACCTAGATATTATTAAAACATATTAGGACGTACCATGAGTTCGTGTCGAATTTTGACGAACGACGCGTACTTACGGGGTGACCTAATATATTTACAAAATCCCACTTACTTGTAATCTAATACCGTCAGGTGTGTCAAATAGGAAACTTTGTTCCACCCGAAACCGATGAACCTCGTGTCGTATCGAGGGGCCAATCTCGTGACCACAATATACGGCTCAAAATCTGGTTCCCAGGATACCTACGGTGACATTAACTTGATGGTTTATACTATAGACCAGGCATATCAAACCTTGTGTAATAAAAAGATGAAGTCGATGGGGAAATCGAATGATTGGAACCTGCTTTAGATAGAAGACAAACGTATCCACGTACTTCGTACGGTTCCATCGTGTTACGCCAATAACTGTAATTCGTTGCTGCGTGACCCTGCGTCCAAACGTGGTACCGGAAGGTGTACAGAACGCCGCGCTTCAAGAACTTTAACAGCTCGTCCTTGTCGGCGGGAAACGTGAACCTATAAAACGTACCTATCGTGCAGGCTGTTCGTTGCTTCGAGTAGATTTTGGACTAAATACCTATAACGTTCGGTTTCGAAAGCAGGGACGATCAGAGCTACTCTGTCCGACTCGCTGATGTTTAATTTAACGATGTAGCTCATGAGGCTCTCGTGCAGACCGTATTGCGGTAGAAAATCAACGTCCAATTGAAAAATGAACGGTGTCGACACGTAAGACATCGCAGTATTTCTCAAATAATTGATCGGATAAAGTTCCTAGGGAAAAAGACGTTCGAAAATTTCCTTTAGTCGGTTCGGTTTATTGAAATACCGTCTTCGTTAGCGGGTACGTGTTATTAGTGGAAATATCGAGTTTTCTGGAATCCGTAGAACCCGATGTTAAACGCAAAAAAAACGCACCCCATCTTTGTACACGACGTGGTACGCGATGTTCTTCCTTTTTCGGAGCTCGATGGAGCCACGAACGAATTCAAGAAAATTTTGCACTTCGGCGTCGGTGAGGTATAATGCAACGCTTATGGTGCCAGGCCAGTGTTTCGATAGGTCTTCCAGTAACGGTATTCTTTCCACGCTACACTGAGTTACTAGAGCAACGTCTGCCGATGCGTACACGTTATATTCGTATTCGAGAAGGAACGGATGGGTGCGATACGACATGCTCGCACCTCTCGTGAACTCCCGACAAGGACTTGATTCGTTGTACTAAAAAGTAAAAATTTCACTATCACGTGGAACGATTACGGTCGTTTCCAATCATACTGGTCGATCAGAGCCACCGAGATGCATCGAAAAACAGCAGAAAATAATTAGCTCGGTTTGTGGGGCATTTTGTAACGTGGCGGAGGAAACCGGCGCAAAGCAAAATGGCGAGGCAAAATGAAATATTGTTTTGTAGCGTGCAGAGATGTCTTGTTATCTAGGCCGACTGATTGGCTGTAGCGTAATAGCGACGCCTGTACTCACACGCATTGTCATTATTGGCTGAGTCGATCACAACTACAGTTCTATCGCGCGACGAAGAACATGAACGAAACATATCGAGACAGAGTAGGATACCGGCATAGTGAGCGACATTGACGTAGACGTAGGTTCAGAATATTAGCTACGGTCAGAGTACCTTGAGTATTTTACTTTGCCTCGATTTTTCCTATTCGGATAAAATGCCTCGTATACAAGCAAATTAGAGTCATTTCATTTAAAATCACGACTTACTTGGGACGCGGCTTCGTGTTTATCGCAACCGAACAAGCGTCTGCGTAGCAGATTTCCATCCATTTCGAGGAAGACTTTATGTAATTTGCGAAACTCGTTGATATGCTTATTATATACATCCTGCTTTCGAGGGGAATTCCAATGGACGATCTAAAAGAAATCGCGCGGTAACCAAAGGGAAACCCTAAAACAACGAATATACTTCTCCCGTTTCGAAACTCTACATACGCTTATCCGACCAGTTTCGCGATAGCAAAGATCGCTGATCGTGTGATCGCTTAGTTGAATATTCCACGTGCACTCTATTCTGTACACGATAGAATGATGCTCTTTGATAACAGCATTTATAATATCCTGATCAGCTAAACTAGTTTCTGGTATGTGTGCCAGCACGCGCTTCGTAACTGTTTCCCAGAGGGTCGTAAATTTTCTGTTACGGAGTTGCTGCAAGTGCATTAGCATCACGCCGGTGTTAAACCCTCTGCCCAAGGCTGGCCATGGCCGCTGACCGTAAGACAGTGCCTTTATATACCAGTGACTCTGATTCTCTGTCAGTCCCAGAGCTTGATCGTCCGCGAAATTCTCGAATGTCCGCCAAAGCAAACTAACATCATTTAGCACGGTTACGTCCGTGTCGAATACAAGCACCTTATCCTCTCGCATAGCATCAGGCAGAATTAATTTCAGTAGACCGTAAATACCGGAGTAATGCTTGTTCGGTATCCAGGACACCTTTGGCACCCATCGTTCAGCCTTATAATACGTTAGGGTCACTGGAACGGAGAGGAACTTGGCTAACAAAAATTCTCGACACCGGAGACTCGTGATATTATCGGCTCTCGTCCGTTCCTCGGGTAACGCGAGACTCGGGATTAATTTATCGCTCAAAATTTAGTTCACTCTGCGACTGGCGCGTTAATTGTTACAATCGGGTCAAAGCGTGTTAACCCTCTATAACTCCGTGCGACTCTGAAGTCGCATACCCATATACCTACATTTTCAAAGTCTGATTTCATCTGTTCGCCGTTCTAGCTTTTAAACAATAGAATGGCCACGTAGCAATTTCTATATAACGCTAATAATTTGGGTTATAGAGGGTTGAAAGCATGATTATGGACAAATGTTAAAAAACGTGACACCCTGTACATCCAAGTCCAATATATTAGTCTACCGATCCATCCATCCTGGGGAACGGATGAGAGTGGTAATCACGGCAGTTCTTTACTAACCATGCGGTAAATCCCATGTGCGAAACAGGGTCGCCAGAGTTCTTTTAGCGATTTCGTCAACGAGCAAGTGAAAGTGCAAAGGTTTAGTACGGTAGAATAAAATGGATTTTACTACTGTCACCAGAGAAAACGTGGAGTTGTAGCCAGCGCACACCATCGCGATGTGTATAGTCTCGCATTTTACCTTGAAAGAAGAGATTCGAAGCAGTCTATATGAATAAAATAATCGACAAATTCGTTCTATTTAAGTTTAATCCCTTCCCGTACTTTAACGAGTCTGACTCGTGATGAAGATTTTGGCCCAAACATGAATATCACGAGAGTTGGTCACGATTCTTATAACCTCTGTTACAAAGCAGTTTATCGTCAGTTTGGTCTGTTTACCGCGCGTTGACGCCTACCGTTTGGGCCCGGATTTCGTCGAGCTAAATGCCACGGGAAGGGGTTAATATTCAATAGTGCCTACTACCTATATTTACAGACACACGGTTTAGAATCCCTCTATATTAATTGTATCAGGTTTATCAGAATCTCGAAGAAATGATATGGTAACGGTTCAAAATGTCCGTCACTATGTTTTTACCTCGATACGATTAGTTTCGAAAGGCAGCTTTTCGGGAATAGGCACTCCCACGTGAAAACTCGTTTTGTCTAGGTCCACGGACAACGGGTCCGATTTTCCATCGAGTTTGAAGGAACCGATTTTAGCGGAAGGAACTACAATAAGAGATCAGCAGGTACTAAGAAAATGTAAAAATAACGCGGTGCATTACCATTCAATAACAAATACAAGTAAAAGATCGCCGATGGTACTAAAATGCCGAACAAACATCCTAGCCATGATCGAGCCATTGGAATATGGCGGACATATTTCCCAACTCGCAGAATGATTAGCGAGTGAACTTTATCGATCGAATTTCGAGATCTATAAATAAAAATTCGGTGTTAAACTATCAAACAAACCGACTACGTAGTTATAAATCATTCCCCCACCACTGTAACTCTTTTCTTCTTTGCGCCAAAGGATAGAAAAATACATCTAAATACATATACATATAGCATAATGCATACGTAACAAAAGTCAATAACGAAACGTAACGGAATGACCTTGAATGGTCAAAATCTTTTGTCTCTACTTTCATTCCATATTATTGTAAAGATTTTATAAATATACATTTATTTCCTTTTAAAATCTCTTTCTAAAGATTCTTACAATTAATTATCGACACATGATACGCTTCAAATTCTCTAACCGCTAATTTACTTGACATGTGCCACCGTGACACACAGTACAAACAAAAGAGAAAGGTTAAATTCGCATTATTTGTTGTCCTAACGATGGACTGACTCGAAAGAGTAACAGTATCGAAAAGATCGATAAAAATTAAGGCATGATAACTGAATATCTGGAAACACATACCTCCGGTACCGCGACTTTTTTCCTCGACTGTCATCCAATCAAATCCATTACTCGAAATTATTTTGTACCCAGTTTTGAAGGTGATCTAGAATCCTGCACGTGACTTCGTACACACTAATTTACCTTGAGTGCCGGTACACGTTTACGTTTCAATGGATCGTTGATGTGCCTTGCAACATTCGTCGTAAACCAAGCAAATACACGTAATTACAGTTATCGAGGAACACAACGTAGGAACGACATGCATCCTAAACACCCGAAGCAGGAAGTCTAACGTAAATAGTTTAATCACTGGATAACGTAGTAGTAGAATTACCACTCGATTCAAGCAACGCGACGCGAAATGTCGAACAGTCGGTAAACCATGGCATGGTTACTCCTTCTCGTTGACAGAGGGCAATGTCGATTTTGTCGTCTGAAGTTAGTCGCGTGTGTCGTACAACGTTGGAAACATTTTTTCAAAGTGGATTTCACGAAATACAAAGTGTAATGTCTGTAAGTACGCGACGATTCAGTATGTAAAACGACACGATCAAATAACTCACGATTTGGTAATAATTTTGCGTAATTTTAGTATTCCCGTCCACACGATTGTATTTGAATCCATGCAAACTCGTTGACTACGTAAACGCCAAAGCGTGCAGCTCCACAGATAAAGCGGCAAAAACGAATCTACGTTTCCATCGTAAGTAAAAGTTTAGATACTTTGGCTTAATTAAATACTGATTTTTATTAAAATTGTATAAAGTAGGTTTGCAGTCTATTTTCCTATTTTGCAATAGTACAAAATTGCAATGATGTGGTACATAAAAATAAAAATTACTTATCTAATAAATAAACTACTTATTCACTTTATACATACAATTTACGTCCTAAACGGAAGTCTCGATAAAAAGAATATATTTGTACTGTTAAATAAATTTTTCATCCTACATTGTGATTACTTATACTAGAGGGAACTATATAACTAATCAAATCTAAAATAACAAAGTTATTAGCTATTAGAAATAATGTTCTCATATATATGATTTTGTCTTGTAGTGAAGAAATGATAGTAACATAATGTATGATGACATGTGGCAGGTTATAAAAAAGGTTTTATAAAAATCATATTTAATACTATTCAGTTGATGTCTGTTGCTTTACTTGAATATGTAGCAGGTTCATCTTTTTCAATGTTCCTTAATTTCAGTAGCTCTACACTTCTTTGCCTGTACAAAGGTTTTAAGCATTAGTACTCAAGTAATAACCGAGGCAATTCATCAAATTGACATTTTTAATTGTATTAGGCGTGTTACCTAGACTGTGCTTCCTCCTCTTCTCTCTGTTTTCTTTGTTGTTTCAAAAGTCTGAATGCAGCAAAAACTATTAGTAGTAGAATTGGAATTAGGCAACCGAGTACTATACCAGTTGTAACACCTGCTTGGCGTGAACTATATTCCTGTTGACCTGTGATTTTTAATGAAATTTATACAATTAATTAAATTAGAAGTAAAAGTACACCTAGTAGTCACTGGATGAAAGGATTAACAATCATTATGTTGAGAAGTAAATTAGTATAGATATAAGATAAGGTTAAACTATGCATGAGTAACTAAAAAGGAAAGGATAGAGGCAAAAAGGACAAAGATAACAGAAAATTATAAGAATAGTACCATTGGTGGAAATTTCCATTCCACTGTAACAATTCTAATTAATTCTCTGAACGTATGGCTAATGTTTTATTAAATGCATGTGGAATAGAAATTTCCAAAATATTGAAGTGTGTAAAAAAAGTTTATTAAACTGTGCTTTTACAATAATTGGCAAGCGTTTTATACAGTCACTCTACATTAAACTATATTATTGAGTTTACAAACTTTGTTATTGCATTTTTAATGCGCTAGGAGTTTATTATGCGTCACACTTTATAAAAATACGAAGCTCATTTCTAATTTAAGGTTATCGTATTCTGCACATTAGACGATGAACAGAATTTTATAAAATCAAGGACATTTCTATTCCACAGCAAACACAGAAGATGTAATTTATACGTGATAAAGAAACGATACGTTATTAACGTTTGATATGAAATTTTATCTACATGTAACCTATCGGGCGAATTTGTCTTTTGTGTAAATGATATTTAATTATGTTTATTTTGTACAATATGACACGGAATTATTCCGAAAATATAAACGCGTATAATTACGCCCAGATAGAGAGAGACAGAGAGATATAGAGAGGGTAATACATTTACAAATATTTGTCATGGAAGAGACGCTTCCAAGAATTATACGCGTAAATGATGAACTTTTGAAATGGTCAAATACCCCATGAGAGTTATTTAAAAATGTCTCTACATTTTTATTATTTCTTAGAAATTCTCAATCTTCTAAACAATCTTATACGTCGCTTTCTTTGGTGGGACTTCCAGTTTTTCTAATAGACTCTGTCGTACTGTGTTCCGAATTTGTCGGGGAAATGGGTTCTTTGATATCCCAGTCTTTGTCCTCGAAATCGACATCCGGTTTATTTGGCAAGGGTTCATTGGTACGATAGACTTTATCATAGCTATGACGTTTTTTGGCGCTACTCGGTAGGGTACTAGTGTCGCTAACGGGCGAAACCGCTCTAACGTATGATTTTAATGGCACGTTTTGCTTCAACAATGTTGATTCATTGTCAATGGTAGACTCGCGCACAGAATAACGCCACGACTTTACCGAACCTCCCTGCGACTGATTCTTTCTTATGTAAAGAAAGGCGGCCGCGACACATCCTGTTACTGGGATTAAAACGGCGCAAATGATACCCATTGTCGTCCACGCTGTACGCTGAGCATACTCGATCTGACCTATATTTATGCAACACCAAACAGTTTTTATTTTCCTTTTCGTGTTTTCGACAAACGTGGTGATTCGTCACCCGGTGAATTAAATTTCTCGATGCATGAAATGCGAGTAGCGAATTCGAAATGATTTTTCAGTGGTTACGATATAATGGGAATGATGGGAAGATAAAGTGATAAAATATGTAGAGGATTATATACTAATCTTTGTATGAACCTAAAGCGATCATGTTCGCCTAGTAAAGATATTGTTGAAATACTCACGTAGACACTCCGTGTATCCGTACTCAGGCACATCCCAGCGGCCCTGCGGTGTGCATATCCGTCGTTGATCGCCAATTAGTGTGAAATCTTGATTACACTCGAAGGTCACTCTCGTGCCCGGCGTGAAAAAGAAATTACTCTTTCGGCCGAAACGTGGCGTCTCCAATACACCGCACGTTATCACTGAAACGAGTAAAATCCAATCGTAGATTTGACAAACATTTTTCACAAGTTTCCCCGTAACTCACCTGGGTCGTCTAAATTAGTGTATCTAATCTTCGTGTACGTGTCGTAATAGTTTCTTGTAAAATGAGCTAAATCCCGATTGAGAGACATCGCATAGTCGTATTGGCACTGATACGAGTCTCCGCAGAGATCCAAAGATCGCTGTATATCGATCGACCTATAGCAGAGCAGGATAACTCAAATTATTCTAAAGATCATTCAGAGTTGGTCGATTTCAAGGAAAATAATAGTCACCTGTTAGATGGCAATATTTCCTGGGCTGTTTTTCGGTATTCAGGTTCAAATGTTCTATTGGAATAGTAACTGGCGGTTCTACCGAACTCTCTGGTGAACAGGGCCCCTCCTTTTAAATCGTCCTCCTTGTCTTCCAGCATCCACTTTAACGCAAAGTCTTTGTGCACAGCTTCGAAGTGATTCAGATTGGACGAGGCCACTTGTTGACCGTCCGGTGTCAACAAGTCGTCCATGATGTCGATGTTCCATTTACCAAAAAGTCCTGTAGTCTTGTTCTAAAATAAATCGGACACGTTACCGGGTTAGTTTACCCTAATGGGAGCATTTCAAATTGTACCAAGTAGGTCCAAGGTAGATAGACCCTGGCCGTCATGAAACCCTCGTTCTCGACCACTTCCACGCCTGCGCCCGTGTCGAACATGATTATCACTTCGCTCTGGTTTAAAATGTACGTCGGTGTGTAAACGACCACTCCGGGGAAGTGTTGGAACTTGAGGGACGGTCTGTCGAAGTACACTCGACGATTATCCGCGAAGACGTCCAGACGGTATCTCCACTGGGCGTGTTTCGGTCTCACCCGGACCTCTATGGGGATGGAGTTGTTTCCTCTGGCTGCAAAATTAGACAAACATCGTATCGATTCTAAAGATAACGATCAAGTTTTCACGAACGCGTCAGGTACCTGCTATGGACGTCAATTGCGTGGCCCTCACTTCGCCGTACATGTTGTTCGGTAGTTGCTCGAACCTGCCTTGCACGTCGAGTTTGTCCTTCGCGTTGTTCACGCGCACCAGGACGAATTCACCTTTTCCGTTGAACGTGTATTGTAAATTATCGAACGTGATTATGTGGGGATCGCCGAACACCGTCGCCACGGCCGGGGACTGATAAGCCACGCAATCTTGACTGGGCCGTCTCTCGTATCTGAACGTTTCGCAACCGACTGCGTGCTCCTCTTGCCACATGCAGCACATGTAGAAAGGTATTATGTCGTGGTACCAGTTCGAAAGGGTCGGAACTTTGTTCGCCTCGTCCCAAGGATAGTATCCAAGGTTGTGCGATCGATGAGGCCTCGAACCCCATTGCTGGTCGTACGTCAGCATCAGGTAGCCGTTCTTATCGTAACAACATTGTTGTTCGGAGCCGTCCATACTGCGATCCAAAGCGAAAATATGTATAAATAAAGCGAATCTATCGAATATCTATGAATACTTACTTCGGGGCGCCTGTCCTCACACAGTGATGCGCGTGTTGATTGTAAAGACAGTCCAGATTCGAGTCCTTGTCGCAATCGTAATCCGGAAGGAACCGTCCTTTATCGTACAACGCGTGCCTCAACGAACACGGACACAGGGATATCTCCGCGGCGAAATTCTTCAAATACCTATCGTTCATGATCCATTTGTCGCAAAGTTGTTGGGGCCATTTCGATCCGTACATTCGTTCCCATTGCGGGCCAAAGTACCACGCCAATGGGACTGGCCTACTCCAGAGACTCCTACATAGATTTCTCGTGTTATTGTTTACATTGCATCGTCAATATTCGCGTAGAAAGCGAGAGTAGATTACGTACGGTGTAATGTTAAGGCCGGAGTGCTGCTGTGGTTCCGTCAAATTTAGCATGATAAATCCGAAGCTCATGTCCAGCTGGTAGAGATTGCTCTGATCGCGATATTTAGCCGGTCTGATGATGTAGTAGCCGAGATTCGTGTACGCGGACTATAATTGATTAAGTTTGTGGGTTAGTACGTTTTTGTTCCTAAACCTAAGCCTAAATTTTCATCTAACCAACCTCCAAAGTAGCGATGTACTGGAAGTCTGGTGTTGTTTTGGTTTCGCGGTATCCCCACAAAGATATCTGTATGCCCGCGTTCAAGTTGCTGGTCAAATTGTATTGGTTCCACGTGATTTTTATCTCTGCCGGTTGGCGCTCGTGGATCGAATTATCAACGAAGATCCTTTCGATCGCCGTCGCCGGGGTCTCTGCGATGCATAGACACGGTCAACGATTTTTATTCGAGTTTGTAAGAGTCATTTAAGGTGGTTTCGCCTTACCGATGAAATATTTCCCCTTCCAGTCGTACGTTTTGCTCTCGCCAATGCTGATCGCAAATCTGATGTATCCCTGCGCCTTCACGAACGGTTGAACGCAGATCGCGCGATTTCTATCGATCACTGTACCGAGCACCCACTCGCTCTCGAACATGCAGCGTATTTTTTCAGACTCGTTGAAACACGGACCGGTGATGTTGACAATGGTACCGCCCAACATGTTCCCGCTTTCCGGCGCGAACACAAGAGGCAAGTTTGCTCCGGCTGTAACGTACAAAATCGCATGAAATCAGTTTTTTTTTTTTAAAATACTTTTTACTCGAACTTACCAATATCCTTGTTGCAAGTTCCAAGCATGATCTTCTCGTCTATCCTGAAAATATGTCGTCCTGGGAAACCGTTCGCCCATCCTCTTCCTGTTAAGTCGCGGATCGTCGACATTTGGGAATACGGTTTATATTCGTAAGCTTGTGTACCATTTCCAGCGTTGAAACCGATCTAAACGCAAATATAGTAGATGACAAACGCTAGATTATACATGGACGTTTACATAATTTTATAGCTGGGATCATAAAGATGATTATGTTTAGCTGACAGTGGCATTTCTGCGAAAAGGTATGTTTCCGCCCTACAAAGTCATCATATAAGGACACCTGTATATTACATTATATCAGTCGCGATCATATTTTTATTTTACCGATAAGATAAAGTGACCATCGTTTTATCTTTATCGATGTCTTACAAACGTTTCTGAAAAGCGTTGGTCGCGTCGGAATCATTTCGTGTATTAAGTAAGACGAATTTTCTACTTACAAATGCTGGAACACCACCTTCTCCGTTCGTAGTATCCCCGCCAGCTTCCGTGTGACTGGTCCATTGTATATTCAAGTAGTTGAAGATCGCGTAAGAAAACACCTCGTCTGTGGCTAAAACCATTTGAAAGGTGTTCGTCTTGTAAAGAGAATTGTCGATACCACCGGCGAACGACATGTTCTTCCACGTGACTATAGCAGCATGCTTGGGCTCAAAGGAGTCTGAACCGATGATGGCTTCGCGGACGTCCCATTTCAAACGCTCCCTCATTTCCACGCCAAATTGATCAGTTCTCCTTTGCAAATCTCTCTCGAGCCTGAAATTTCATTAGGGTGGCGGGTCGTGAAACTGAAAGTAACTATCGCTGATCCGTGGTACGTTAATTGGCAATTTTCACGCACCTGAAGTAAACTCCTGGTGTTCTCTGATCGATATCGTCCCTTCTGACTTCTCCTATGCGACATTTACTAAAGAATATTCCTATGAAACTGGGATCGTTCTTTTTCGGCCAATCTTTGATGGGAAACACGAGAGGGTAAGTGTAATGTACCGGAGGGTCGCTGAATTCTAAGAAACCATTCATGGATACCTAGAAATTGATGTACGATTACTTTGACGTACCGTTGTAGGGAATTAAGAGCGCAATATTATTTTGAATAGATTTTTCTCAGGTCTGCTTGAAGTAGATGTAATAGTAGTGTTTCGAATGACGACATACTCTGGTGTAATTTAATCTAAATCCAAAGAATGGCAGCTGGAAGTTGAAACTTTTGTGTATTTGCGGCATCGATGATTGGATGTCTTTTTGATAATCGCCTAAATCATCGTCACCACCCTTGTCGAAGTACCAATACATAAACTGCGATCGTATTTCCTTTAACCTGGTTTCGGTTATAATGTAGTTTTGAATCGAATCGGAGGATCGAGGCGCGTATCTGTCGGCTTCCGGTTCATTCGAATCTACAAAAACATGCGAGTTCATGAAACGCAATAAAAACGGAGTTCTCAAGGTATATTTTCAGTGATGATATCAAGCGCGAAAGGGAAGATAGTACTCATTACGAAAGTCGTGGTGACACAAATCCAGTGATTCATCTCCGATTCATGCTGGAATGAGTAACTGATAAAGCAGATAAGATCTGATCCATTAGGTGGACTATATCACAAATAATGCTAGGCGTTTCACGAACTTGTTTTCAAGTAATGTTAACAAGAAAAAAATAGAGGTGCACGCGTTTGGTCAGGAATAGAATATTTGCAAGATGTTAATTTCGAAGCATACAACGTTCAAACGACTCACCGCACAGAAAAATAGATAATTTAACGGTCACGCCCATTGATATCGAAACACTCACCGTATCTCACAAACTTTGCAATTTTCCCTCCAGCCATTTTACCGTTTATACCCTTAGAAATTGTGATTTCCTCCTTCGGTTCGATTTTCGATCCTGTGGGATTATCGATTTCGGATGGTGGTTCGACAGGTTTTTCTTCATCCTCATGATTTTCACCGTTGTTGAGGTCGTCCATCTCTGACAGGCTTTCCAGAAATTCGTACGCCGACGGATTCGCGTTATTTTCCGTATAAAACGGCTCATTATTTTCCGTGGACTCGATGTTTTTCAATCGAAACACACTCTCGAACGTTTTGTTTTCATCTTGTGCCGATATCCGACTCGCCAGTAAAAACAGAACACAACCGAAGACGATCGATTTTGAAAATTCGAAAACGCGGTCGAGACGAACCCGGTTCCGCATTTTTAATTAGCCAAGGTAAATGAACCGATTTGTCTAGTATGAGCAAGGAAACTGAGCTTGGTTTCAGGTATAGAACTTTGATAACGGTACTGATATCAGTTATATGACGATAACGAGCGTTTATCTTCTTACTACAGGTGGATAAGCTAACGTAAAAACGAATGAAACGAGCGAAAAGCGGGTGTCCCACTTTCGAAAGGGTGTGGATGCCCTTTAAATTGCTCATACGTCACTGAACATTGTAAGAATTTTGTTGCAATGTTGCATTTATGTATATTTGAAATATTATCGTAACATTATAACGATATGAAAATATTTTGACAACGTTCGATGGAATGTGAATGATATGGATGGTTACGATGGGGATGGTATCGAATGAACACTATTCTATGTTTAGATAAGATGTTTATTGTATCTCTGGAACGACGTGATATTTACAAAAGAAACGTGTTTTGCGTGATCATCTTCAGACCGTGGCAGAAGACTGTTTTTTGCTTTTAATCTAGCAGAGAATGCGGATTATAAGAAAACATATGTACGTAGTATGTATAGGGACCACAGCGTGGAAAGTAATTTTAAGGAATGATTTTCCGCTGACTATATATGTTTTTACAGAGACAATGAAATCATTCGAGAGAAAACATAGAAGGATCATTTTTCTTTTTTTGCTGCGACGCGCTAATATCTCATTCACTTGGTCTTACATTGCACAAAACGGGATTTTGACAAATATTTATTAAAACATTAAATATAAGAAATCTGTCAGGCTTAAAATGTACTGATCTATAAATGCATCGTATGATAAATGTACATATGAACACTGATAGATGTACTTAAGCTATGCAGTTTTGCATATGCTTCACTTTAAATTTTTTTCTTTTCATTTTCCAATCTTCCATCCCGATATTTAGATTTTTCGAAAAATCTTAAAAGTAGATTTATTTTCTTCTTTTTTTTTCACTTTGTACTGAAATAGCTTGTATACCAATATTGTCGTAAACGTTTGTAAAGAAACTATATTACATACTTTTATGTTGCACAGTATTGTAAATATTCTCGATCGATTGCACGTATCACAGAAGAAACCTACGAAAGACTCAAATTCGAGGATACAAAAAATGCACGAATATGAAAAAATGTTCCTATAGTTTCATTTTTTTTTTTTTCAATCAGTGATGTTTGTGATCTACAGCAGTGATTTGAATGTGACATCGTGGATATGAACTATACGCTTGATCATTAAGTGAAACATTATTTATAACATTTTATTTGTAATGAAATAATCTGTTCCGGCTGAGATGCGATAGTTTTAACATTACGAAGACGAAGAGTTATCTCCATTACTGTCTAGATATCCTCCTGAACCGTTCACGACAAACGATGTTCCCAAACCGTACAAATGTCCACAATATTTCGCATCATCAATGTTGTCTTCGAAAAACATCTGAAATAAAATATATTCGTTGTTCCGTTCGTGACAGTATATCGATTATTGCTCCAATATTTACCTCTCGCATTTTAAAGAAAACCATTCCCGTAAGTAACGAATCAGATCCGGCTTGATGTTGCGGTCCAACTCTTTGAATTTCCAATTGTTCTGCTACTTCTTGTAGGCCTCCTTTCAAATTTTTGCAAGATTTCATTAAGTACTGTGTACAGAAAATTGTATATTACGATTAGAATACAGTTGTTATTTAAACAAACACCTATCTCAGGTTACTGCTCTTGCAGAACTTACTTTTACATCGTATATTGTTGGAAAATATATCCTAAGAAGTTCAAAAAATTCACTTTCTTCCTGTGGTAAATTTTGATCGGTAAGAAGCTTTAGCAAGTAACCGAAGTCGTAGCCGGAATGAAACGACAGCCATTTTATATCGTCAACAAGAACGATTCCCGATGTCATCAAAAGTTCAGCAAAATCTAACGGGTCGATACCTTCTTCTTCGTGTTTTTTGAATTGTATACCACTGTTTTGGAGCATATCTATACTGTCCTGTGCATACATGTCTTCCCTGGATTGCAAATTACACGATACATCACCACTACGTCTCAGACTATTATATAATATCGATGAAATGTTTATTGCGTGTTTAAAACTTACTGTAGGTTAAATTTGAAATTAAATTGCCACGTCGTATAACTACCGCCAGGTGTATTTCCCGATTCATCGAGAAATGTAAGACCAAGTTGAATTATTCGCAAAAGATCTACATTACATCGTAATAACTGATACTGATAATCGGCGCTAGTCCTAAATTCACCTGTAACGATGAATGGTACTTTACTTTATCAAACTAATATCTTTATCAGTGTTAAGTCAAAATTTGATTTTTAGCTACGCGAAACTCTAATCCGAAACTCTGTGAGATCTCGAAACTCGAAACTCTCGAATGTTGTACGTTCTTTATAGAACTTACTATTTACCCGAGTTTTGAGAGTTTCAAATCAAAAAAATAGTTTCAAAGTTTTCGAAAACTAAAAACTTTGAGTTTCGAGGTTTCGAGTGTCCCATTCTTAATAATTATGCCTTACCAATAGGCCTAGCTACTACTCCAGGAAACTCAGTATCCATCGCGATGTACTGATATTGCTGTACAACTTGCCGAATTGTCCGAAATTCTTCTTCCAAATTGTGACCCCATACATCTCGTATCCCGCATTCTTCATTACTGGGCATAGTCGCCCCACCCTTCTGCTGCCCTATAGGGTTATTTCCTCCTGAAAATTTTTAAAAAGTTTTATTTAACGCGATGTAACGGACGATACCCACCAGAAATTATTTTTAATTCATTGTCATATTGTATTATTTTTCAGTGCCCTATTATTTTTTTATTTTTCTATATAATGTAGAGATCATTTCTAGTTGATAACATTTATTAAGAAAACATTAAGGGAACATTAGTTGTTGAATAAGGAGAATGGGTACATATCAACCATATAATCATAGATATTGTAAAAAGAATGCCCTTGGAGTTGCTTAAACCATTTTGTGAAAGAATATAGTATTTTCGGTGATGGCAGATTTAGTAACAATATTTTGAAAAGTGATATTGGGTTTTGTTATTGTGTTTTACAAATTGAGTTTATTTAGCATACAATACAATTTGTTGTTTTTATTTATCATTTGAAACATCTTATTTTATTGGATGTAAAATACATTGATAGTAATCATCTTCTTGGAACTTCATTGCATGTTCTACTATGATTCTACTACTTTCAAAGAGGACTTCAATTACGCGTTTCTTCTGGAAAGATGTTTGTTGTAATTTCATCCATGCAAATCCAAAGTACTTTATATATTTTGCTTCATGGTTCCTGCAATATGTATGTGCCACATTCATTATTTAGAGGTCATATATTCGTGTTTCACCTTTGGTATTCGTTATACAATCGATCATTATTTGGCTCAAATAAATAAGTGTGGAGTCCAAAGTTTGTCAAGGTGTCATCTAATGCACTTCCTTATGACCTCCGTTGACATAACTCATAAACTTAACATAATACAAAACTTATATGCAAAATAATCCTCTTGTACATACGGGAATTATTGTTTAAATTTACAGGGCATTTAATACGTACCGGTAGCTGAGGGCATAAGGTTAGATATTCCTGTCGTCACCGGGGCTATTTTTATGTTTGATTCCCACCGTCACAGCTTTACCTTCTTCATATCACTGTAGATATATACATAAATGTTATCACTAATCAGATAATTTTCATTGCACAATATACACATACAACTATGAAAGCACAATATATACATATTACACGCCTATTAAATCAAAGAACAATGAAGGAATTTGAATTGAAATGGTTCCAAATAAACATTACAATTTAAAGGTTAGGCGTCCGTACAAACAAGTATCGCATGTCACAACGAATACACAATAAATAAAAAATAGAAAATGTAACATTAGCGTAGAACATAATAGGAATGAGGAATCGAACAATAAGTAGTCATTTCGTTGAGCGTTATTTTCTAAATAAACATTCTATTGAAAAATAGGTTATGTGTTTGAGATAAACAAAAACGATTTGTTGGAGTGAATATGAAAGAAGCGAATATCGCAATGTACCTCTTTGTGTGCTCGTTTTGCCGCACGATGATTTATTATGAACTATACGAAATGAAGATTTATAAAATACTTATCGCGCCTTTAAATCTTCTGTCACAGTACGAACAGGTTAAACGAGTTTCCAAACTCAAAGCAGCAATTCCCTCTACATAATACCTGAAGTTAGGGCGCCAAAATCGCTAGAGTGAATTTCTTCGTGTCCGTGGCGTTGCCAAGATGTTCGTTCGCAAAGCAGCGACAGCGAATCGTAGAGGGCGCGAGAATCATAATCTTTCATGATTACCATTCGAGTATGTGCATCATGGTGCCACAGACGATGTAAAAATAAGAAAATAAATGTTAGCCTGAAATCTTTATTGTATTTCTTTTACAATTACGATTTGTACCTAGAGTGACCTCGACCTCACGATATTAACAAAGTTATTCGTGAGACAGGGATTAACCGTGCCTCTGAAGGCCGGGCGAAACCCCTTTCCCCGTCGTTGAATTACCGGCGCGACGACTGATGGTACAGTGTCGTCATTTATTAGGTCACAGACGAGGAATGCAAGTAGACTTTTCACCTTATGGACTTTCGTGGCCGAATCTGACTGTCATACCGACTTGAAAATTCGGAGCTGATTTTAGCGGCCTCTTCTCATGGATGGCGGTCAGTTGAGAAACTCACTGAATTAGTGTGATAGGCAGCAGACTAGTTGCGCGTAAATGCATACGAGTTGAAAAGTACGAATTATTCGCGTTTCCTTGACTAATTAAAGTTGTAAATAATTTGCTAAAATCAGTCTATCCGCGGTTTCTATCCAAGGCATCCCTCGGGTTCGTAATACAAGCTTCGCGAGACATCGGAGCTTCCCCTACCCCGCCGCCTAATTCGCGAGCGTTGCCGAGCACAGCGGACAGCCATCATTCGTCCTTTGTAAA